AATCCTTCTTCATTTAACAAAGGAGACAACCAATCAAACCACAATAAAAGCTCTTCACGAAAATACATCCACATCTTTGTGTAATCTTCATTCGATTTGAACATTATGATACATGAGTTCCTTGAATATCCCCATTTTACTATTCTTAGTTCAATGTCCTCATTTTCCAAAGCTTTCTTCACGACACTTGACTCAAAAGGATATCTGATAACCCCTGTTAAAGAGCATTTCACCCAGCAGTGATCTTCTATAGGAATATGCATATCCCATACGTTCCTCAAACCTTTTGTAGTTTGATGTGGACCTCCTATTTTATCCCCCGTATCTTGTTTCATTCTCCGTCTATCACCCCCGTTCAAAATCCTTATACGTTCGTCCATCCCTCAAGCTTCTCGATAGCTCTATCTCCTCCTCATGGCTTCCTTTGTCCTTTCTAGCTGACTTGTTAGCTACTTTCATGAATCTTCTCTCTCCAACTTCTCGTTTTATAGCTTTATTATATTTTGCGACCCCCACTAAGACACTCTTCCCATCTATCAACGTTCCATGGATATTTTGTATTACTCTTCTTCTACCTTCCTCCTTCGCATACTGGACAAATGCGAATATAGAAGATTTATAGTGTGGTTTCTTAAAAAAAATTACGATGAAAACCCTCAACACTCTTCCATAATGGTTTAATATCTCTCTTAATTCTCTTCTAGAAACTTTTTTACTGAGATTATCAACGAAGACAGTCCATTCCTCACCGGAGAATGAGCGATCTGTCGGACTCACTGTCACAATGTCTTTGCCTTTCATAAACTGCTTACCGATCCCAGACTTCTTACTAGCAGTTGGATGATTTCCTTGTCTCTTTTCTCCATTGCTTTGTGTAGTCCAGTTCATCCTAAACTTCTGCTCGGCACTTGGCATCGGTAACCCATTATACGACTGCAAAGCCCTCTCAGCTGCTGCTTGTGACTGGAATTCTATAAAACCATATCCCTTCGTAGCCTGTTTGCTTATTTATTATCACCTTAGTTGAAACTATCTCTCCAATTTGAACGAAAATACTGAGGAGGTAATGCTCATCCATCCACTCCTGAAGATCTCCGATCCAGAGATATTTATTTTCATCGAGATCAATGGCTGCAGAAACAAAATATTGTTTCGTATTAGAGGATATAGGAAATATTGGCAGAATCGCTGTAGCAGCGGAAGAACCCGACTGACCGGCTTGTTGTTGTTGAAGCGTCATCTTCAACGGTTGCACTTGCACCTGCGATTGATGCTGGTCATAATGTGGTTCAGAGGTTTCGTTCGTCTGGGAAGAAGGCATAGCTATGGGTTCTTGTGGTGGTTGCTGCGACATGTTAAAAGATTTCCAAACTTCAACGGTAGATTTGCTCCAGAAGAAGGAAAATTTCTCAAAAATAAGTTGGGATATGAAATCCCAGTGAGAAGACGATCATCCCTAAGAAAAATGATGACAATCTGACGGCGGCGGACGGCGATCGGCGGACGGCTGACGGTGAACGACGAACGGCGGATGGTAGATGGTTGACGACGGATGACGGTGGTCTAGGTTGGGGTTGGGTGTTCAATCGTACCCACATAACTTTTTGAAAATCTGGAGTCTAAAGAGAAGCAGGAGCTTCTCTCACTAGGTTTGTACCTTTTCCTTCTCCCTAGACTGTTTTATATATCCTTAAACAAAAATGGCAAATTATCTGAGTTTGGTGAATATAGCTTTATGGGTTGGATTTGGGATGTTCAATTGAGAAGGAATTTGAACAGTAGTCTAACTTGATGGTAGTCATTTCGAATTTTTCACTATCTATAGAATCTTCTGATGGGTTGGTTTGGAAAGGCATTAGGGATGGGGTGTATTCTGTTAAATCTTGTGTTAATCTCTGTTCTTCGGGTTGTTCGGGTTCGGATGAGGTCTATTTCTGGAAGAATATAATTTGGAGGGGTTTGCTGCCTCCAAGAGTGGAGTCATTTCTGTGGCAAGTTGGCAACTAGTTAAAAGAGGAGGTCAGGGTATTGAAGATGTGTTATGTCCTCTTTGCAAGATGGTGGAAAAGACTTCTTCTCATTTATTTTTTACTTGTTCGATTGTGTGATCTTTATGGAATAAATTTATGAAGTTCGAAGGATTAATTATGTTTTCATGCTAATGCTAAAAGCTTTATTCTAGCATGGGATGCTTTGAAGACTAACTCAGCTATATGGTCATTTATACCAGGGGTTGTCCTTTGGATCACTTGGAAAATAAGGAATTTTATTGTGTTTGAAGGGGGGACGATAGACCAAGTCGAATACTTCTTCTTAGCAAGGTTTAGGCTTGCTTCATGGTTTTTAGCTAAGTACAAAGATGTTTCTATCCCTAAGGATTCACTTATATGATCATTCCTTAGGGGATTCTTGTTCTAACTACTCTAATCCGATTGTATCTAAGTTCCCTTGGTCTCCTCCTCCTAAGGGCTTTATCAAATTAAATGTTGGTGTTGCTACTTCTAGTGACTAGAAGAGAAGTGGGTTAGGAGGAGTTTTAAAAGATGTTTCTGGTTCGATCTTAGGTTCTATTGTTAAAGATATTGTTGATAGACTTAAAGCTTTTGAAGATGTTGTTAGATGGGTTAATAGGACAGCTAACCTAGAGGCAGATGCCCTAGCTAAGGCTATAATAGGTTGATTTATGTGTTGTTGTTTAGGGATGTTTTTTGGTTTTCTACTTCCTATTAAGGAGTTATACGGTGTTGTAATTCCTATGCACTTTTTATAATATTAATGAAATTCTAAGGTATTCTTTTCCTCCTTCCGCTGATTAAGGAGCTTTTACGAGATCCATAAATCATGAAGGGTTTTTTTTTTATAGAAATCATGAAGGGGGTTTTTAATGAGGCCTACTATTCTTATAAAAAATGCATATAACATTACTAACCGTCTCCAAGGCCATATGGAATCGAGAAGCCAAAAATGGAAGAACCATAGAGGGCTCCACATAGGATAAGATAGATGTTGCCGTAGCAACAGTTTCAGAAAGATGTTCATTTTTGCTACACTGTCCACGATCAATTAGCCCAGCAGTACATTGACAAATGCAGTCCTTTCTGATTTTCCTAAGTAAAGCTCAACCTGAATATTACTATCCGTGTTCCAGAAATCAAAGCATATAAGTGGAACGCATTCCAAATACGAAACGCAAACAAAATTTAGCCAGAAGATTCTTACTGCTGCTCATGCTGTAAGCGTTTTTGGAATGTAATCACCAAATAGAGCAAAAATCACTCCAATGAATATGTCCAACTACCACCATTAGAGGGATGATAATACCTACAAAGAAAATAAGCAAAAAACAAAAAATGAGGATCAATGGATAGAACCAATTGAGTAGGACATATAACTTGAAAACAGAATTAAAGCATATAAAAATGTTGGTAAACTAACTGTTCCAAGAGGTTGACCAATTTCTCAAAGTGCTCTTGTGCCACACTACTAGGCTTTAACAGATACACCTGTAATAATATGTTCCAAACAGAGTATAAAAAAATACACAAGGAACATAAATGAGCATCAATTCAAAATTCCTGAATCCTGAATACATGAGCCATGGTGTTTTTCATCTTACAACTGATTTTGCAATGGTCCTTGCAGGAGTGACTGTCTTATTGGAGAACAAGAACCTTGTATTTCTGGGTACATCCACAGAAAAAGGATAAGATCCACTTCCACTTGCCACGGGAACCTGAAATGGCCAGAGAGGGCATGAGAAATTTAACATATAAAAATTAAGAAGTCTGAATAACAACAAAACTGATAGAAACTGGAAGAAACAATCAACTCTAAGAGAACCCAAAACCTAGCGGGAAATAAGAACTGAGAAAAATAAGGTACTGAACAATAACAACAAAGCTGATTGAAACTGAAACGTGCGATCAACTCCCAGATAACCAAAAAGCTAGCAGGAAAGACGAATTGAGAAAAAGGGACAAAAGATTACTAGCATAAGAAAGGAAAAGCATATTGAAGATTTTCTTATAGAAAACTAAGATCAGCTTAAGTTTTAAGTTTTAACAATTTGTCTCTGATAAATAGTTCCCAAAGAAAGAATTTATATATCACTCATCAGCAAGGGAGCATGCATTTAGGAGTTTAAGCAACTGAAACTATTTGGATAGGATCACTTCTTCCAAACCAACAATAATAATGACCAACGACACTCAGCTTATACACTCACCTCAAACATGTTCAAGAATCTAGTAAATAGTATCGGTAAGAAACACTCCCAGTTAATAAATTTGCAATTCTTCACCACACGAGCCACAACAGCAGTCCATTGACTGTTCCAGAATTGACAATTTGGGATGGAGTCCCAGAGTTCCATACACTCTCTAATCCAATTACGGCCATGTTACAAATTGGAAATTAGTTTTCTCAAGGTACTCCAGTGGAAACAACACACGACAGTTACCAAATACGTTCTCCTTACTCTGAGAAGAAATCTTGATTTTCTGCATTTGTAGGAAGGAAGAGTCTCACAAATCCAGCTCCTTCAAAGGTTGCATTGTGCCATGGATTTTCCAAAAGAGATCTGAGAATTAAAAAAATGGAAATTGATTGGAGCATTTAAAAAATCTTAGCCACAGTTACCTTGAAGATAATACAATTTTGTAAGGTATTGAGAAAACCGAACCTAGAATTCTTGTGAGAATAGTGGATACTAAACGAAGAGGTCAATAAGGTCCTGATACAAAGACCTTAGCAACCACTTTGATTTCTTATTGGTTAGCCAATTTTTAGCATCAGAATAGTATTATAGAGGATTCCAAAATTTGTTCCAACGAAAATAGGAACTCCATTAACAAAAATGCAAACCTTGTTACTTCATTGTCATTCCAAAAAAAAAAGTATAACAAAAGGATCTATCTAAGTCTGAATCAGATGAAATCTAAGTCTGAATCAGATGAAATCCAAGTCTGAATCAGATGAAACTGCAACTAATTTTCTAAGACAATTTGACATCAATTTAGAAAACAAGAACCACACAAGTTTATAGAGAAAATGTGGATAAAACTGATTGAAAAAACCTCAGAGCACTTGCCTAAACTCTGACCAAATTTCAGAGGCAGAACCAGCTGGAAAAAAACGTCGGCATGATTGAACAAGGGAAGTAACCATCCCAAAATGCCGATGTCTCAATCTCCATCCCTCTGGACCTGTTTTCCTGAAGAATATACATGATCAAAGGACAAGAAGCATCTAGACAATTGAATGCATTGTTCCATCATATTAACCTATTGAGCGGCTTTAAGTGGTGAAGAAAAAATACATATAGAGCACAAGTTTAAATGGAGACGAATTACTGGGAAAAGAAGCTTTTATTGATCAGAAATCGACCAATAATATGGATTCAAAAATACAAAGACCATTTATTATAAGCACACGACGAATAACTAACCTTGTAAAATGTGTATGAATATCATACAAAGGACGCCACTGAGCTTTCAAGAACAACTTCTTTCGATGCTTATTAAGCAATCTCACTAAGATGTTTCCCCATCTAACCTAATATGTTACAAGGAACATTCAATTAGAAAAAGAAAAGAATGATAGAAGAACAAATAAAAAGATTATTCTTTCTACTATTCAATGTATTACCTGCACATATAACTTGCTCTGTGATTTGTGGAATAATTCTAAGCCAAACTCAACAACTGAAACTACATCATCCAAAGATATATCACTTTTGGCCTTTATAAAACTGCAAATCAATAATTAGTAAGTCAGATTTAACGCCCCGTAATTCACCTTTTACTCTCATGGTCAAGTGCACAACACATGGTACACTTACATTTATTTTGCTGAAAGTGATTTTGGTGCACTCATAACTGACTATGACTTATTATGGACTAAAAAAGGGAACAAGCACAACTGTGCAATAAACAAGAGGCAAATATGAAACAAGCATTTATGCGAAAGGTTTATTCAGTCAAAATGCAATCCATGCAAGTTATATTCTCTGCTTCTGCCGTCTAGAGACAAGGAACGAATGAAAAAGTCTACATTTGCATAAATTCACAATCATATTACTGAATCTATAGTAGACAAGAATTATTAATCATACGGACACCATTTAGCACATGACGAGAGGACACAGATTCATAAAAACATTGAAGAAGCATACTAAGCACTTAACCATATATTGCCTGTAAAGAACATGAGTAGCATGCCTATATGTGCCAATCTGACATTTTCCAATACTATAACCATAAATGTAAAATTAAAAGCAACTACAATGTTGACACAGACCTTGATGAAATTAAAAGCTATTCAAAAGGGGTCGTTCTATACATATTTTCGAGAGCGGATCAAGGACCGTTTGATTATTGAGAGTGACAGCAAGGTGGCAGTGGATTCAATTAAGGAGGTTGAATTATGTCCAGATGTTTATGTTTTTATGGTTAAAGATATTGTTCATAGGCTTAAAGTCTTTGAAGGTGTTGTTAGATGGGTAAACAGGACAGCCAACTTAGAGGCTGATGCCTTAGCTAAAGAAGGAATAGGCTGAGTTAGTGTTGTTGTTTATGGTTGTATTATGGTTTTCTATCTCTGTTAGGGGTGTTTTTCTATGTTGTATCTTATGTAATTCCGTATGATGAATAAAATCTTAAGGCACTCTTTTCCTCCTTCCACTGAATAAGGAGCTTCTCTACAAGCTCCATTAATCAAGAAGGAGATTTTTAACGAGGCCTGAAATTCTTATAAAAAAAAAGGTGTGAGTAACTATTAAACTAAATATTCACATAAGCTCAGATATGTTATAGGCACTTGCAAGAAATTTTTTATTCAGAGGGGAAGTTCTTCATGGATCATGTATAGCAAAAATTGATCTGTCCAACTAAGACTAGACATGAAATCATTCATCTAGTAAAAGCTATGAACATTTCCTTATGGCACTAACATGCCCATACATGTTATAATCTAAGGAAATAAATCGAAGGAGAGGGAAAGAATAAATGAGGTAATAAAAGAATTCTGATTATTGAATTTAGGAGATTACAGTAGTTTAAATAAACTAAGTTGCTAACTTCTAATAGCACTTTTCTACTAAAGATAAAATTCTATTTATATTAGAGATTACAAAGACTCCGACTTATCCTTTCTTATCATAAAAGACATCTACATGGTTGACTCTAACACATTTAGTGCTTGAACACCTTAAAAATAAATAGCACCATCAAGACTAAACTTTATTGGTGATTAGGTGAAATTGAAAGTAAAAAATAGTTGAAAGATATAAAATGAGTTACCTAACTAAAGAAATGAACTGTTTTTGCAATTGTATGCATTGAAGTTTATCAAATAAAAGTACTTTAAAATTATCTAAATTCTCCTCCTTTTTTTTTACTTTTTTTGGATAAAAAGGAAGGCCTTATTAAAAAACCCTTTCATAACCATAAAGCAACAAAGACTCCACGGACATTGGAAGGAGGAAAAGAGTGCCTTTGAAATTTTATTGCATAAGAACCAAGTACAATAAGAACACACTACCACCAAAAAACCTATGGCAGCCCACTCAACACTATACAAAACAGCACTACATACATGCATATGTTAATACCCTACACAAAAACTACCTCCTAGATTACTCAACCAGATACAAACATATACCATGCCCAAAGCTGCCAGCTAAAACCAATAATACAAAATCAACAAACCAAATAATTTCCCACCATTTAACCAATCCCTAGTTTGGCAAATTCATTAGCTTCAACTTATATATTTAGTAGTATGATTTTAATTTTTTTTCTTTTACAGAGTAAGTTGGTGTCATTTCACTTGTGAGACCAACTCAATCAAGCTTTATTGACAGCATAGATGTTCAAGCATCTGTGTCTATGCTGCACTATGTCATTTTATGTAGTGAACACCAAAATCTCTAATGCCGACAGGACAAGCAAGCAAAAGAATATGTCCAAAGTAACATCCAAAAAATTTAGCACGCATAGCATGTGCCATACACAGTCAACCACCCATCTCTAACCCCTATTCTGATCAAAGCCAGCAGAAGTAATTTGTCAGGATTGGAGAAGAAGAAGAGGAACGGCGAGAAAATATCGAAGAACATTTGGGAAATGAAGGTCGAGGGTTAGGGATTGAAGAAACAAATTGGGAATTCAATCAGGTGAAAGGCACGGGGTTACTTACAGAGCAGGCCGAGCAAGAGGATGGACTGAAGGAGAAGCCCAAGACAGAAGGCCCAGTACCTGTGAAAGAGAAGAAAGAGAAGAATCAGTTAGTTACATAGCTGGGACAACTGGCAATTAATGATTGGCAATTGTAACTAAATAATTAACAGAATCTGGTGTAAAAATTTCCTTATGCAAAATGAATGATGAATTTTCTTCTCTATCATCTCTCTCTCGTCTGAATTCTTCTCCTAAATCCTTCTTTCTCTCAAACTATAACAATTGGTATTCAGAGCTTTGATTCAGGCAAAAATTTCTGGGGGGCATGACAAAGAAGAACCAGTCTATGGCGGAAACTGATTTAGCTGGGATACAAAAACAGATTGAAGACTTAGCTGCTTTGGTGAAGAAGGGGCAAGATGAAACTAATCCACCTAAATGGTGGGAGACTCAAGAGAATAGAATCACTACATTAGAGTCCAGAATGGCCACTAATCAGGGTTATGTGAAGGAACTGTTAAAGATTCTGATAGGCAGGAATGAGGAACAGGAGCATTCTACTGATGAGCAGGTACAATCTCCTGATACTTCTAAAAATAAGGACAGAAATCCTGTTTTGGTGACTGTGGTGAATGAAAAGTCTAGATTTACCTATAAATCGGATGAACTTGGGTTATTAAAGACTAAACCGGATGCATGTTTAGCTCTTAAGAACAGTTTTAGGCCTGAAAATCAAGTGGGTGAAAACAGTGATTCTAGACCTAATCTGTTTGGACTGGAAACTGAAAAAAGGGGGCCAGGAGGTTCACTTAACAGTGATGGAACTATGTGGCACAGACCTAAGATAGATCTACCATTTTTTGATGGGGTCAATCCTAGGGGATGGATTCAAAAATGCTTGAAATATTTCTCTATTTGTAGTGTTCCGGTTGAGCAAAGAGTAGAGGTAGCTACTATGTATTTGACAGGCAAAGCAAAAATATGGTTTGATGGATATATAATGAAGAAGCACCATGTAACATGGCATGAATTTGAAGCTGATATCTGTCACAGATTCAGTGATAGATCTTTCTGTGATATTGTGGAAGAGTTTACTAAATTGACTTAAAAAGGGTCAGTGGAAGATTATCAGGAAAAATTTGAGGAGTTACAGCCCTATATGTTGTTGCAGAATCCTACTTTAACTGAGGAGTTCTTTGTATCACGTTTTATTAGTGGTCTAAGAGATGATATTAAGCATAGGGTCAAGGCTTTGGATCCTAGAAACTTGTTTGAAGCATGTAAACAAGCCAAGCTTTATGAACTTTCTGTGGAGTTTGAAAATAAAAGATTAAGGCCTTCTTTTAAAACCCCACCCTACCCAAACCCCATATCTATGTCTAAGACACCTGCTATGCCAGTGCCTATAAAGCCGACCTCATCATCTAATCCAAAACAGAATCTTATGGATTATAGAAGGTAAAATAATCTTTGTTTCAAATGTGGAGAGAAATATTTACCAGGCCATCAGTGTAAAAACAGGCAGTTCAATATGATGACTGAAGAGATTGATAATTTTCCTGTGGAAGTTAGTGCCACTGATGCAGAACAAATTCAGCAGCCAGAAGAAGAAAATCTATAAATTTCTATGAATGACATTACTGGTTGTATTGGCCATAATACTTTGAGAATTCGGGGTACTATTCAAGGGAAACCCCTGAATATCTTAATTGATAGTGGAAGCACACATAGCTTTTTAACCCCTAAATGGGATGATGTTGGTATACAGATTACTACCCCTAATCCTCTGGCTATCACTGTGGCTAATGGCCAGAAATTATTCAGCTCAGCTCGGTGCAACAAGGTAGAATGGCAAATGCAGGGCCATACTTTTTTACATGATTTTAGGCTACTTAAATTGGGAGGAAGTGACATGGTCTTGGGGGTTGATTGGATGAAGCTATTCAGTCCAATACTAATGGACTTCAACAACATGACTTTGAGCTTTGACCATCAAGGGGATCAGATTTGTATTCAAGGTCAACAGCCCTCTAATGAATTACTACAAATTTCTGGAGCTACACTACTTAAAATGTCTGCCTGGGATTCAGATATTTTGGGTCATGTTGTTTTATTGAATATGGAAGGGAAGTCTACTATTATTCCTACTGAAATTCAACATGTGTTGGATCAGTACAGATCAGTTTTTGATGAACCTAAAGGGCTACCTCCTCAGAGATCTCATGACCATGCTATTCAACTCAAATCTACTGCTACACCTGTCAATTTAAGGCCTTACAGATTTCCTTACAATCAAAAGGCTGAAGTGGAAAAACAGATAGCTTCTATGCTTTCTTCTTCTGTTATTCAACCTAGTAAGAGCCCATTTGCTTCTCCTTGCCTTCTAATTAAAAAAATGATGGAACTTGGAGATTTTGTGTGGATTACAGAGAATTAAATAGTATGACCATCAAAGACAAATTTCCTATTCCTATAGTGGAAGATTTGTTGGATGAGTTACATGGGGCAGTGTACTTTTCAAAAATTGATTTGAGGTCAGGTTATTGGCAGATCAGAATTAAACCTGAAGATATTTACAAGACAGCCTTTAGAACTCATCAAGGTCATTATGAGTTCAAGGTAATGCCTTTTGGTCTTACTAATGCTCCTGCTACATTTCAGGCACTTATGAATGAATTATTCAATTCTTTCCTCAAAAAATTTGTTTTAGTTTTCTTTGATGATATATTGGTATACAGTAGCAGTATGCAGGATCACATTGAACACTTACAGATGGTTTTAGAGGTGTTAAAGGTGAATCAATTATTTGCAAAATGGTCCAAGTGTTTCTTTGGACAAAATCAGGTGGAGTATCTTGGTCATATTATTTCTGTTGCAGGGGTATCTACTGACCCTAGCAAGGTGGAGGCTATGCAGAATTGGCCTAAGCCTAAAACTCTTAAATCTTTACGAGGATTTCTAGGCCTAACTGGATATTACAGAAGATTTATCAAAAATTATGGCATTATTAGTAGGCCTTTGACACAATTGTTGAAAAAGGATGGATTTCAGTGGACTGTTGCTGCTTATAAAGCTTTTGAGGATCTTAAATTGGCTATGTGTTCTGCTCCAGTTTTGGCCTTACCAGATTTTTCTAAAACATTTTATCTAGAAACAGATGCTAGTTCTGGAGGTATAGGGGCTGTTCTTTCACAAGAAGGACGACCTATTGCTTATTTGAGTCAAGCTCTAAGTCCAAAAAATTCAGCATTATCTATATATGAAAGAGAATACCTTGCTATTCTCTTGGCTGTTTCAAAATGGAGACATTATTTGGAGAGTAAATCTTTTATTATTAAGACTGATCATGAGCCTCTAAAGTTTCTTTTAGAACAGAAACTGACTACCACTATTCAGAAGAGAGGTTTGACAAAGCTTCTGGGGTTGGACTATATCATACAGTATAGAAAAGGGAAGTTGAATGTTGCTGCTGATGCCTTATCTAGAAGATGGGAGGATCAGGCTCACTACTTTGCTTTGGAAGCTACTGTTTTAATACCTGCTTGGGTTCAAGAGGTGGAAGAAAGTTATCAAGAGGATACTTTAGCTCAGTATTGGATTTCAGCTCTTACTATTAATCCTACAGTTGACAGTAGATGGAAATATTCTAAAGCTATCCTTAGATACAATGGTAGAGTTTATATTGGAGTTCATGGCAGTCTTAGGTTGAAGATTATTAAGACCTTACATGACTCTCCTCAAGGAGGCCATTCAGGAGCTCAAGCTACATATTATAGGATTCGGTCACATTTTTACTGGCCAAATCTTAAAGCTATGGTTGTTACTTATGTGAGAAGTTGTGAAATTTGCCAGCAGATTAAGGTAGAACATGTAGCAAAGCCTGGTTTGCTACAGCCCCTTCCTGTTCCTAATCAGGCTTGGGAGATAATCACTATGGATTTCATTGAAGGTCTGCCTACTTCATTTAAGAAAAATTGTATTTTGGTGATTGTGGATAAGTTTACAAAGTACAGCCATTTTTTGTCTTTGGCTCACCCTTATTCTGTAACAGAGGTGGCTAAGCTATACCTAGATAATGTGTATAAGTTACATGGCCAGCCTAAGATGGCCATTTCTGACAGAGATAAGACATTCACAAGTGTGTTTTGGAGGGAGTTAATGAAACAGTTGGGCACAAAGACATTTTTCAGTACTGCTTACCATCCAGAAATAGATGGACAAACGGAGGGAGTCAATCAATGCTTAGAACAGTATTTGAGGGGCCTTTGCTTTTATCAACCTAAGCAATGGGCTAAGTGGCTACCACATGCAGAGTGGTGGTACAACACCACTTATCATACTTCTCTAAAGATAACACCTTTTCAGGCGTTATATGGGTCTAAACCACCTATTATGGTTTGGCCTATTGAGTCTACAGTACATACTATATCAGAAATAATGAGCAGTAGAGAGGCTACCAGACAGTTGCTAAAAAATCAGTTGCAGATAGCAAGTAATAGAATGAAGCAGCAAGAAGATAAGAATCGAACTGACAGAACCTTTCAGATTGGGGATTTAGTTTACCTGAAATTACAACCCTACAGACAGACATCGATTGCCTTGCGAAGAAACTTGAAGTTAGCAGCAAAATTTTTTGGACCTTATCGTATTCTGGAAAGAATAGGAGCAGTCGCATATCGCTTGGACTTACCTAATTCTTCTCGGTTGCATCCGGTTTTCCATGTCAGTTTACTGAAGAAGTTCATAGGCGATTCCTCCATTGTTGCTACTGATCCTCCTACAGTAGATGAAGAAGGAGAAATACAGATTAAACCATTGAAAATTATGGCCAGAAGAATTATAAACAGAAACAGTAAACCTGTTACTCAACTTCTGGTTCGCTGGGAGAATCTTGCTGCAGAAAATGATACTTGGGAAGATTACTCGACTCTGAAAGGGCAGTTTCCGGTATTCGATCCTTGGGGACAAGGCTCGTCTCGAGGGGTGGGTATTGTCAGGATTGGAGAAAAAGAAGAGGAACGGCGAGAAAATATCGAAGAACATTTGGGAAATGAAGGTCGAGGGTTAGGGATTGAAGAAACAAATTGGGAATTCAATCAGGTGAAAGGCACGGGGTTACTTACAGAGCAGGCCGAGCAAGAGGATGGACTGAAGGAGAAGCCCAAGACAGAAGGCCCAGTACCTATGAAAGAGAAGAAAGAGAAGAATCAGTTAGTTACATAGCTGGGACAGCTGAGAATTAATGATTGGCAATTGTAACTAAATAATTAACAGAATCTGGTGTAAAAATTTCCTTATGCAAAATGAATGATGAATTTTCTTCTCTATCATCTCTCTCTCGTCTGAATTCTTCTCCTAAATCCTTCTTTCTCTCAAACTATAACATAATTGTAGCTGCTAGCAAATGATAATGATGAAGTTAAAGAAAATTGACTTGAATAAACAAAGAGCCCAATCTATAATTGATTTCAGGTTTTCCATGTGCAATGTCAGCCATCTAGGTTGCATTCGAGACAGTTCGGACTGCACAAGTGATTATAGGCCTTCTCAAGCTAAAAGTTCTAGATCGAAGGTGTCAGCTAAAAAAATCTTAAGTTGCAATCACCAAATAGCTCATAAAGATTGAATGCCCACATAAACTGCAAGCACCTTTCTTCAACCTACCTGTTTTAGGTTCCTTACTCTCCCTCTTGATAAAAACCCAATGATCAATCAATATCCCATAAAAATATTTACATTAATTCTCTATATTGGTAGTCTAAAATTTCAGGGAAAATATCAAGTCATTATTGAGCATAAATTCAACCCAAAACTAAACCCGAAACTAAAAAACAAGTAGCTCTTCAGAAAATATAAAAACCTGACCAAAAAAATAATGCAAAAGGAAAGTAAAGGCAGGCTTGTCGAAAGAGAGAGAGAGAGGAATTAGAAGGTTACAGGTCGATAACAGAAATCCACTTGAGATTGGAGTAAACAGAGTCCGGGTCATCGGATCGATAAAGGTCCTTGAGCGAAGAAATGACCCGAGAGAAAGACTCCTTCTCCTTCTTGGTCTCCTCGGCAACTGGTGGGGGCAGCCATGCATTGTAGATATACATATATGAATCCTCAAGGGTGAAGCCAATACTGTATCTTTAATAAATTAGTTGTTTTTTGGGTTTTTATTTTGCTTCGGGAAAACTATAAATTCTGATTCAAAAACAAAAGGGAATGAATGAAATTGGAAAGCTTAGGAAGAGTAAATTATATTTGGAGTGGGTGGAGTTGGTTTGTGTTTTTATTTCCTTTTTCTTGATTAAAAAGAAATTAGTTTTTTGTTTTATTTCTTGGGGAAGGGGAACAAGGGAGGAGTAGCTGACGAATGAGGACGAAGATGATGATTATGATTTTCAGTTTAATTTCCTTTTCCCTTTTTACGGCAAACTACACTTTTAGTACCTAGACTATTAATTTTGATTCATTTTAATATCTAAACTTTTAATTTTTTAAAATTATATTTAATGTTTAGTTTTTATTTCATTTTAGTATCCTACTATTAGGGATGACAAACAGGTAGGGCGGGTGGGGCGGGTGTGGATACCATTTTCCTCATCTCTATACTCACCTAATATTTTTGTATACACCACCTACACATCACTCATGACGAGTAAAAATTTTTTTATTCACGCCCGTCCACGTGGGTACTTCCACAAATCCACTGTCATGATCATGAGAGATACATAAATCGAAGAAGACGGGAGAGAATTGGGGAAATTGGAAATGGGGTTAGGGATTTCAATTGAAGAGATTGGTATTGCCGATAGTGAATGGAGTCACACCAACAACACCTGTAAGGGAATCAAAATGTTACATACAGTTGTATTGCCAGTTGGTAAATGGGATAGGGTTGGTATAATATAAAGATATGAAACAATGTACTGAGTAGGGCTTATCTCATGATTTGAATTAATGCATTTATGGATTTCTCTTAAACATCTCTTCTCTTCTTTATCTCTATTCTCTCTTCTTTTCTTTATCTCATTCCCTATTCTCTCTTTTTCGGCAAAAACATAACAATTGGTATCCAGAATCACAACTCCTTGCAGCAATGGATGAATCCTCTACTCTTTCTGCGATTCAAAACCAGATTGACGAATTATCAAAGCTAGTAAAGCAAGATCAATACTTGGTGACTGGGATTGCAAAGAATAAGGGTTATTTCGAGCAGATTCTAAGGGTCTTGACAGGGAAGACGGCGGAGCAAGACCAAAATAGCCCTAAAACTGAGCCAATGTTACCTGTGGCAATCAAAGGCATAAATGATGGGTGTCAAGTGTTTGATAAAATGCCAACACGAGTAATTGATGCATTATCATCCATCATTAGTACCTAACACTTGGAAGTTGGTTCCGACCGTGAGGGGTCTGAAGAACAAAAGATGAAATGGCTAATATCTGAACCAAGTGGAAAACGTCCATTGTTTGGTTCTAATCTTCTTATAACAGAAGAAAATGTTGTTGTTTTGGATACAATCAGTATATTGGCAGACAACTTTGGAGCATAAGTCATTTCAATGAAAATTGCCCCTTATGATGTTCTTGCTATTAAGTTCCTGTAGCGTGAATGCCGTATGAAGCAACCATTAAGAGTTGTTCCATGGTTTGAGAAGTCAGGTTTGCCTACATCAGTTCAAATTGCTACTTTTACGCCCTTCATAGTTGATTTTTCTGTGGGTAACTCAAATAATTTCAACTATCTAGTTCTATCCGCGTTTAGAGAAATTTGATCTAAGATGTTTAGGGATGTCAATGAACATGTTGAATTTTTTTTATCCTTTTATGTTTCGGCTTTTATTGATACGATGAAGTAGGATTCAAATTGCTATGAATTTGAGTGTGATTTAAAAGGTTATTAGTTCTTATTGTAGGCTAACTTTTGTTTTGTTGGCTGAAAAAGAATGGGTTACTACATACATATGTGAATTTTTCCAAGTCATTTGTAAGTGAGAGAATATAAGATGCAATACTACATTTAAGACTCTAGTCATAAGAGATCTTCTTGGAATGAGGGAGTTGATAAAAAACCCGAGCTTCAAAAATTTGTTGGCTTAAATACTGCACATAGTAAGATTGGTTCTTGTGTGTATAACATACAATTTTGAATTAGGAATGACACTACTCAAAATGAAGCGAAAACATTTGTTATCATAACAGTTGAGCTAGATACAATGTTAGGATGGAGTGTTGTGCAACAGAGTGTTCTTCAAAGCCATAAAATTAACATTTTTTTGTTAAACTCTAAACCTTGTATTGTACCATTGGAGAGTGATATCACTTTTGGATTCAAAACACCAGAGAAAGAGGTGTTTGACACACTATTATATGTATACAACAAAAAACAAATTGTCAATTTGAAGCAGGTTATTTTTGCTAGGTTTTCACTTAATCATGATGATGCATCTATCTTGGACGTAAAGAAAAAAGATTTATCATTTCAATGGGGCAAACTCTAATATTTTGTATAAGATCAAGGAATTATAAGTTATCCAGTTTCTAGAGAAAAAAATATCATGTGGGAATTTGTAGTGTTGGAATTGTTGCTAATGAGAAACTAGATGTTGAGTCTGACTCCAATAAGTTTTGGGTCCTGTTTAATCATAGTGACACTCAAAACCAACCGAACCATAAACGGATTGAAATGCTTGAGAAAGTTGGTTCTATGGTTCTAATTATTACTGGAGGTAGCTATGTTTTAATTGCATCAGATAATAGAGTTATCTACTTTTTTGGTTCTGATGCTACCATTTTTCGTGGTCATAGAGAACAAAAATATGAATTCCACCCAAGTATACTCTACACAATTAAGAGAAAAAGTATGTCCTCGTGAGTAGAATTGCATTATGTGGACAACATTAATTTCATCACTCAGTTGAGTGTGGACTTAAAAGGTGCTAATGTCGATGCTGCTACAAAGCATGGTATAAATGTGATCAGAATTATTGGGGGTGTTACGGGCAATACTGCATCTTGTGCCCAATTGGTTATATACCTAATGTTGAGCCTTTTTAGGAAATAAATGCGATGCAAATATTTGTAAAGGAAAAAAGTGTTTGATCCTTGGGAACAAGAATCATTTGAATGAGGGGGAATATCATAACAAGAGGGAAAGCTAACACTAGAGGCAGCAAAGATCAAGTAAGAGTTAAAGAGCATGTAGAGATTAAATTTCTTAGAACAATTACAACACAAGAGATCAGGGCTTACCTCAAATTCCAGTCATACCATCAAACTTCATTGGCTCTTCGAAAAAGCTTAAAGCTTGCAGCAAGGTTCTATGGTACCTACATTATTTTACATTGTATAGGGTTAGTAGCATATAACTTTTTATATGAGTCCTTAAAGGTGAAAACAGTGAATTATTATAGTTTGTTGAAAAATGATTATGGAGATCAACGCATTACCTCATTGGAGCCTTGCAAGTTTGGACATAAAGGACAGTTAAAGGTCCAATCTACTATGAAGTTTGACAAACATAGGGAGAAGAAGTACAATCAACTGCAGTGGACGAACTTAAGGTTGGAAAATGTCATTGGGGTAAACTATATTGTGCTTAAGGCACAATTATTAGGTTTTATCCTTGGGGACAAGGATCCTTTCATGGAGGGGGTATTGTCATTATCATGAGAGATACATAAATTGGAGAAGACGGGGGAGAATTGGGGAAATTGGAAATAGGGTTAGGGATTTCAATTGAGGAGATTGATACTGCTAGCAGTAAAGGGAGTCACGCCAGCAGCACCCAACATCACCTGCAAGAGAATCAAAATGTTAGATATAACTGTATTACCAGCTGGTAAATGGGATAGGGTTGGTACAATGATAAGATATAAAACAATGTACAGGGTAAGGCTTACCTCATTATTTAAATGAATGTATTTCTGGATTTCTCTTGAATATTTCTTCTCTTCTTTATATTCGTTCTCTCTTCTCTTCTTTATCTTCGTTCTTCTATTCTCCTTCGCTAATCTCTCTTTTCTGACAAAAACATAACATCCACCCCACACCCATTACCCATTACCCAACTAGATACCCAACATCCATATCATACTCGCCCATACCCATATGCCAGTAATCTCATAGATTACGTAAGCAACAAAACATAAAACAAATATATCCATTAAGAACATAATAAAATAAACCAAGGATTAATTTAGTTTATACCCTAACATTTGATTGAATTACAAGTGATGTACTAAAAAATCTTAAAACTTATAGAAATAGTATTTGAAATTATACCTAAATTCATAATGGTCAAAAATTTATATGGTGAGTAATTAGTGGGCAGGTAAATATGGTGCGGGGCGTATGCGGAGCGGGTAAGGTCTCAAACTCATCACCTACCCTACCCACGATGGGTATGACTTTTTACATCCACACATGTCAATACCCATTGGATTTATATCCATCCCCACCCCAATTGGAGTGGGTGCAGTGCGAAATCCACGAAATTATACTCGTCTGTCATTAAAAATTTAACGAGTTTAGTACCTAAATTATCAATTTTTGTCTATATTAGTACCTAAACTTTAAATATTTTTCAAAACTTAACATTAAATTTTGAATGGGTACTAAAATGAAACAAAAACTACACTTTAGGCATGGTTATGAAAAAATTGAAAGTTTAGGTACTAAAACGGACCAAAATTGATAGTTTAGGTTCTAAATGCGTAATTTACCCTTCTTTTTATTTAGAGTAAATTACAAATTTGGTAACTACACTTTACTCTATCCCCTATTTCACTCACTGTACTTTAAATCTTTTCAATTTACTATTTGAACTTAATACATTGAATTTTTTTGTTACTTGGTCGTTAAATAGTTAAAGGCGTTAAAATGAACAGTTATATAGATGCAAAACGACATCGTTTTGGTGAATTTTTTTTAAAACAACGTTGTTTCTAACGTCGTTAACTATTTAATGGTGGGGTGACAAAAAAATCTAATAAATTAAGTTCAGTGAGGAAATTAAAATTGTTAAAGTTCAATGAGAAAAATAGGAGAGAGAGAGTAAAGTTCAATGTTGAAATTTGTAATTTAACCTTGTTTTGTGTACACACATATTTTAATGGTAGATTGGCAGTGGCCCGTCTAATTGAATCTTACATGCCAACCCTCCATAATATGGCAATTGTGTAGCATACGAGGATATTGTCTAATTCACCATTGTCGCTTTATATTTAGTATGTTTTGCTTTATCATTCAGGTTTTTTTTTTAAATCTTCAAAACTACAATTATTTGTAAATCCATCCTAGAGATGAGAAGGTTGGGTTAGTTAATATAAATTTGATTCGATTTTTACATCATTCAATAGAAATTTCAACTAACTCAAATTTCTAAAAGGAAATATATTTAGTTCAAAATGACTTGAATATAAAAAAATATTCGATAAAATATAAACCTAATTGAAAAAATTATATATAAACATGAGAGTATTATAACAACTACTTCTAAATATATAGAGAAAAAATTATATTATTATCTCAGGTCAAGTCGAATTTAATATTTTTCATCTTAAATACGAACCTGACATGACCTTTTTCAAAATGTGACTCAACCTATTTTTAAAAAAAATTATCCGTAATTCATCCTTACTTTGTCTAGTCATTGATTAATTTACTTTTTTATGGAATAACATTTAACTTAATTTGAAAATTACTTAAATTAATTATTTTTAAATTAAATTTAAATGGTTTAAATGATCAAACACGTTAAATTTTAAGTACTGAATGGTTAGAAGCTCAATCAAATTGTTTATATTATTTCTAATCACTGATATCGATCTATTGACTGACTAATCCAGATCGGTTACTGCAGAGGCGAGAGCGACCCTCCCACTCAGTTTGCTCCATTCACAAACGTCAAGATTCGAACCCCTGACATTATTTAAGGAACTTAGTGTCTCATCTCACTAAATCAACTAGTTGTTGGTATTGTAATGTTTTCTTTAACATTATGCTACTCCCTGATACTTTATATGAAGCGTATAAATAGTTAAAAAAACGTGTTTAATTGAATTGGGCTTTAAAATGTGATTAGACACAAAATTTGTCATATAATCTAAACCCACGATGATGGAACTAAGCATAGCCCTCCCCCACTTCTTCCAAAATTTGTGTCTAATCACATTTTAAAGTCCAATTCAATTATGTTCTAACTTAAAATTATAAATATTTTATTAACAAAATGTAATTACATACATTCTAGTTCAACTATTAACAAAAGAATAAATAAAGAAGAGGTTTGAAAACATGTGGTAGATCTAAAAACATTTTTTAAGGCGGATATACATATCCTAACAACATAAATTTTTGAATGAGACACGATTTTTAGAAGAATTTATCAAATGACCTCGGTATTGACTTCAAGCAGTTACGTCTGCGAGTGTGTGCGTCTGTCAATAGCTAAAAATAATTATGATGAACATATGCCCGTCTCGAAAAGATGTGAACTTGTTGCTAAAAACTATTATTAATAACTACACACATAATTATTTTGATTTTCAATTAACTTTTTAAGAATTCAATTACACCTCATCTAACGAGACTTATTAATTATAATAGTTATGCAATCATATAACATTTATCTATTTAATTTCTAATTACTTTAATTTTCAAGTACACCATTAATTTTGATTTGAGAATTTAATTTAAAAAGTAAAAGTTAATTACTTTTTAAGAATTGTTTTATTCGCATGTAACAATTATTGCACATGTGTTTGGGAATAGGGAGGGTACGTATCTGTCTCTACATTTGACAATTCAATTTCAGTTAGCATACGTGGCATCCATTAGTCCATTGGATAATTAATTTCTTATTACTTCTTTAATTTTATATTTCCATTTAAAATTATTTAAATATATATATATATATATAATTTTTATTTAAATATCTAAATATATTTTTAGTCATAGTAGATATTTAAAAGAGATAATATCCAACTATACATTGTAAAAAATTATATAGATTTAAGATAAGTAGATAAGTAGAAATAGACATAAGATTAATAATAAAACAAATTATAATAAATTTATTAAAAAATAATGCAAATATTTTTTATCAAAATAAATATATTAAATATTTACCTTTTCCCTTGGTAATTATATTTTTTTTCAAAAAAGATACATATAGATTATTTTATCTATTTAGATATTTAAAGTATTTTTAATCAATATCATACATTAATTTAGATATCTTAGATAAAAGATAATATATTTTAAATATTTAATTTAGTAAAAGAAATATTTTAAATACTTAAATAAAAAGCATGATATTTTAAATAGGGTTGGGATCCACTTACATTAATTAGGTTTGTAAATGAACCTAACAAATATGAACGAGTGTATGTTCATGTTCGTTCATTTATCTTTGACCGAACAAACGAACGAACACAAACAACTAAACGAATAATTTCTTGTTCGTGTTTGTTAATTAAGAAATTTAGCTTGTTTATGTTCGTTCGTTAAAATGATAAACGAACACAAAAGAATGAACATAAATTAATTGAGTTTATATTTGAGAAGAGTCTTTTTCTTTCCAAATAATTTTAAGATTTATATTTTCTTTAATTGATTTGAGTATTTTTTATTTCAGTTTAAAATTAATTGGGTTTTAAAATATTAACGACTTTAAGGTTAAAATTTATTAAGTCTTAATATTTTAAATGGATCTAGAGATTATACTTAATATAAATAAACGAACATAAATAGAATCTAACCTGCTCACTTTTTATTTATTTTATTTTTTATTTTGCAGCAAGACATTTTATCCCGGAAGAATGCCCTCTTCTTTTATCCCGGGCTCTAAAAACTTCTTACAATGCTATTGTTCAAGGACCATTTTATAAAAATTCCATTTACGTTAGATTATTTAATTAAAAATACTAAATATCCAACTATTGTCATCACAACAACAATTCATACAATAACAATAATCATAAAAAATTACCAAAAATACTTATTTCTATAGTTTTGTCATCCAATTACTCTAAGTGAAACAATAAATAATATTTCTACATTTTCTTGCATATAGTGATAATGCATACCAAACATACGAGCCTTAATGCAAAAATAAGTGTTTAAAGTATACTTAAAGTTAATTTTTGGTATCCAAATAATTTTTCTTTAAAAATAGGTGTTTAACGTTATTAACCTTACACTTTTAGGAGCCTGGACTATAACATCATTAAATTCGGGCGTTAAATAACCTATGTCACTATTATATCTTGTTGAAAATTTTTATTTTCTTTTAAAAAATAAAAATAATATTCTTATTAAAAAATCTCCTCCCCTTCCCGATCGTCCTCCTTGTCACCACTAGGGGTGTAAGCGAGCCGAGTCGAGCTTGAGTATTGTTGAGCTCGACTTGACTCGAAAACTCTGAAATGGAGCTCGACTCGACTTGAAACTTGCGAGCTTAAAATTTTCAAGTTTGACTCGAACTCGAAATCCTAAGCTGAAGCTCGTGAGCAGCTCGAAAAAGCTCGAAATGAAAAAAAAAATCTTAAACTTAACTGGATTGAAGCCTAAAACTCAAACTCGAATATGAAGATTAAATACATGAAATCTTACTGTATTTAAAAAAAATCAATACATAAATATTAATATTATTAATAATTTATTTTTTAAAAAATAAAATCTTAATATATTATATTTTCAAGATGTTCACAAGCTTTTCGAGTCAAATATCTAGTAGCTCGTTTCGACTCGTTAAGAACTCGTGTCGAGCTCGAGCTCGATCTCGAGTCCATTCGATTCGAGTATTTATCGAGCCTTGATTAAGTCGATTTCGAGTAGCTCGCGATCTGTCTCGTCTCATTTACAGCCTTAGTCACCACCCACCCCTAAGCCTCCCTTGTAATCCCCCCTTCAAATTTCCTCCCTTCCTCTTGTCGTCCCCCTCCCTCTCAATATTTGAGATTAATGGGACTAAATTATAACTAAATTCTCTACTCATTAAATTTAGGTTAGAGATTAAGGAATATGAGGTTTAGGGTAAGGGCAATGATCGGTTAATGGGTGAGCGACGATGGGTAGGCGACTTTTTGATGACGAAGATAATGGCGAAAATGGTAGACGGTGGTCGCAAATGTATTTGAAATCAAGGATTTTAAAGTTTTGATTTTTTGTAATTATAAAGAATTTTTTTAATAAATTATAATTTTTTTATTTCAAAATAATTTTTTTAAAAATTTTATAAGTCTGACCCATGTCCGATAACAATAATTTTTAATGGTGTGGTTACAACCCATGTACTTAAAAATCAAACGTTGAAAACGTTAGACACAAAAAATGTTAACGAAAAACGTTCCACATTTTTTTAAATAAATTATAATTTTTATTTTAAAATAAAGTTTTTAAAACTTTATAAGTCTGACACATGTAAGATGACAATCAAAATGGACTAATGGAATTTGAAATAAAGGGTATCAAGTAAAAACATATGATATAAGAATTCTAAATATGTGTTTGCTTTTCAATTTGAGTGACTAATGGAATTTGAATCATAGAAAGAGAAATTAAGGTTTCAAGCTTTCTCTCTACCATGGTGAATTTTGGGGAGGAAAAATATGAAAGGAGCCTTTCTATTTGCCAATTAAAGAAGATGGACTAAAACACAACACCTAAGTAGCTTATTTACCATTTTTCAAAATGGTGGAATCCCAAAGCAAGTCCTTCAGTTTTTTTCTTTTATTTGAACTAATCATTGTATGGTCTAATGAATCCTTAGCCATTTAATTTTCTCATGTTTTTTACTTTAGTACCCAAGTTCCACATTTTTATTAAAATTTTCAAATTCTCTATCTATTCTATTTTAGTCACCGAACTTTTGTCAAAAATCAATTGTTCTTTAATTCATACTATAAAATAAAATTAATCGAATTTTTAAAATATCAAATATCTAAATAACATATCGAAAAAAATTCTATGATCACTGAATGTCGAGAAAATTCAATACCGATTTGTGAGGTGTTACATTGCTCATCTTGAATACATTAATTATGGAGTGATATGTGTATGAACATCATGTTGTTCAATGAAAATTATCATGACAATTCTTGAAAAGTGGCCAAATTAAAAGCAATAAACGAATTTACACATAAATCTAAGGTGAAATCACTTTATGAGATTTCTTCGACTAAGGAGATAAATGTTGTATCTCACCCCAACTAATATCTCTATTTTTGTTCCTCCTCCTATCGAAGTCTTCATAGGAACTCCTCTGTTAATCATAGCCTCTAGAAATCCATATCCTCTGATCAACTACAATCCTTTAACAAAACCTCTAATAGGCCTATGTTATTTGTCAAATTCAAATTTACTGTTACACGATCATATCTACTTTCCATGTCAACCTACGTGTAGTCATCATGATTTAAGGCCTAAAACCAACAATAAGAGTCATTATATAAGGGACCAGGGGCAACTCACTGCCATTGACATACCACTCTTCCTAAAACTATCCGTTAAATCCTCTATTCAAATTAAAAAAAAATCGCCTACCACTCTCGTAATCCAAATTTCACCATCAACATATTTAAATTACTAGCAATTCTTCAATCCTTAAAAGAAAATTTATGTTCAGGTGCACTTAAATCTAAAGTCTCTTAGATATTATAATAAGACCAGTATCAATCAAGCTAATAACCATATTCAAGAAAATTTTTAATAGGCATATTCAAGAAATTTAAGGATTTATTCCATCAGATCAACTACTAATTAGGTAATATAATATATTTTTTAATAATAACTCCATACTAACGCAGGATGCAGTGTAAAAAGCCTGGACAAAAAAAAAAGCCTAATGTTTTTATTTAAAATGTTGGGCATTGTTTTCTCGTATAAAGCCTACAAAGCCCAAGTATGGGAATTATTGGAAAGAAAATCCGACCGTTGGGATATCAAAATGTTACCGTTACCAATCTCACGCTTTTATTCCCCCCCCCCTCCCAAAAAAAGCACTTTAAATATCACAGCCTCTTCCCATTTTGCCTCAACAAAACGCATTCCATCTCTCTATTCTCATCTCATTTCATCTGCGAAAATCCTCCGTTTATTTATTTTTCTATAGCATAAATTATTTTAATTTTTTTTATTCATAATTATTTCTGTAATTTGTTTCTTCAGTCATGGCTGAAATGGCGGACACCCACATTGTAGAAATCCCAGTAGATGAAGAGCATCAACAGAAGCTCTCATGTGCTTTGGCCACCATCACTGCAATCCAAAACCATCCATTAATGGAGATCTCCCGGAGTCCGGGCCATCTCTTGCTTCTCAAGTTATGGCAAAGAGATGAAGACCTTTTCGGTCGTAAAATCGCCCTCAAGGAATCCAGGCTCGACTCCATCAAGAGAGAGATCTTCCAATTGTGTTGTTTCTTTGTCATCTTCCATGGGATTTTCTTCAACATCTTGTTCACGTCTTCCGTCGGTGCGGAAGAGCACCATCGCACTTGTGGGAAATGGTGGGTGCCATCTATTGTTTCGCTCTCGACTTCACTCGTGTTTGTGTTTTTGGTCCAGGTCAAGCTTTGCAGGTATTGGAAAGTGGGGAAGCAGTTGCAGAGGGAGCGGAACGATAACCGGGCACTCACGAGGTGTATTCAGGAGCTGAGGATGAAAGGGGAAAACTTCGATTTGTCGAAAGAGCCTCACATTGGGAAGAGGATGAAGAGCTCGAGCGTTGAGATTAAATGGAAGCCTATAACATGGTGCTCTCAGTACCTGATCACTATTGCACTTGTTTGCTTCTCGGGCTTGGCCTTGCCGGTCTGCAAATTCATGCTCTGTGGAATCTGATACGACTGGTGACAATGCTTCGAATGTCGAAGGTACCGTTTCGATTCAAATTCATCAAAATTTGTACATTTTTATTGGGGTTTTGATATCAGATAATTTGTTCAGAGGCCTTCATTGGATGGGTGGTAACGGAGGAATCCCGCTTGACGTTTTCATTGGGGATGAAGCATCGTGGTCCGATAATGATTTATTTAAACCTGCTCGGAGCTATGAACTCCATTACTAGCAGCAGTGTTGCAAAGGCGATTCTATATAAACTTTCTTCAGTCGTTCAACTGGCGATTCCTCAGTTTCAGAGCCTGAGATCTTGTATACTACTATCAAGGAGATGCTATTTGTGATCTTCAATGGCAACACAACTTTAATTGCACCACGACTTGTGTGCTCTTTTATGTACAAGAAATTCTTTTCTAACTCGAATAATAAAACAAATCATTCATTTTATTTTTTAAGAGAATGAAAATGTTCATACAAATCCAAAAATACATATGATTTAAGAACAGTTGGTTTCACAGAGAAGACGCAAATAAGAACTACATCATTAACTTAACTGCTTTCGAAGCCAAATATCTGGAACACACCTTCGTCGGCTGAAAATTTTATTTTGGATTCCATTCCACACTATTCATGGCGGCTCGACAAGGAATTTGATACAAAGTTCCAAAATTCAGGTGAAACTTGCTCGAGCTTAGTAAATGTTCGCACGCAAAGCATGTCCAATATATCCCAAAGGCTGACTATGGAATCAGCACTTCCAACGGCAAAATATCTACCATAAAATAGAGATGGGATTTATTGGAAACATTTATCATCTCAATGAAAGAAAAAGAAAAATTCATTGATGGCTGAAATAAACAAAAATAACCTTGCGTGTACGAAAAACGTGACAAATATATAAACATTAAAGACAGTACATATATCCAGATTTGCCCTTACATGATATATGCATAAAGATTAAAGAAATGAAGATGGCAACCAAAGTCAAGATGCAACAGAGCTTGGAAATTAGGAGAGATTTAGGCCAAACCTTACCTTCCTGTTGGATCAATTGCAATACAGTAGCAGCCAGCTGTATGTGCCATGAGGGTGTCAACAGGTTTAAGTAATGGGTATGCAAGTACTTCAACAGTACCTGAGAAAAAAACAATCAAGGAGAATAAACAGTTTTTGAATCGGAGAGAAGCATAATTGCTAAGAAGAAATTGATCCAACCATTTCCTGTTGTCAAAAAGAACATATCTCCGGTCATGTTCCAAGCAATTTCATTTACCTGAAAAAAAGTGTACCAAAGTCAAGATGCAACAGAGCTTGGAAATTAGGAGAGATTTAGGCCAAACCTTACCTTCCTGTTGGATCAATTGCAATACAGTAGCAGCCAGCTGTATGTGCCATGAGGGTGTCAACAGGTTTAAGTAATGGGTATGCAAGTACTTCAACAGTACCTGAGAAGAAAAACAATCAAGGAGAATAAACAGTTTTTGAATCGGAGAGAAGCATAATTGCTAAGAAAGAAATTGATCCAACCATTTCCTGTTGTCAAAAAGAACATATCTCCGGTCATGTTCCAAGCAATTTCATTTACCTGAAAAAAAAGTGTACCAAAGTCAAGATGCAACAGAGCTTGGAAATTAGGAGAGATTTAGGCCAAACCTTACCTTCCTGTTGGATCAATTGCAATACAGTAGCAGCCAGCTGTATGTGCCATGAGGGTGTCAACAGGTTTAAGTAATGGGTATGCAAGTACTTCAACAGTACCTGAGAAGAAAACAATCAAGGAGAATAAACAGTTTTTGAATCGGAGAGAAGCATAATTGCTAAGAAAGAAATTGATCCAACCATTTCCTGTTGTCAAAAAGAACATATCTCCGGTCATGTTCCAAGCAATTTCATTTACCTGAAAAAAAAGTGTACCAAAGTCAAGATGCAACAGAGCTTGGAAATTAGGAGAGATTTAGGCCAAACCTTACCTTCCTGTTGGATCAATTGCAATACAGTAGCAGCCAGCTGTTTGTGCCATGAGGGTGTCAACAGGTTTAAGTATTGGGTATCCAAGTACTTCAACAGTACCTGAGAAGAAAAACAATCAAGGAGAATAAACAGTTTTTGAATCGGAGAGAAGCATAATTGCTAAGAAAGAAATTGATCCAACCATTTCCTGTTGTCAAAAAGAACATATCTCCGGTCATGTTCCAAGCGATTTCATTAACCTGAAAAAGAAGTGTACGACTCAACAGCTGAATTAGAATAACAAAAATGTTATTCATCCTTTTAATCATACAGCTTAAGCAACTGCATCCAATGATAAGCCATTAGTTCTAAAGAGTTAGCCGGGAAAAGGCCAAGAAATGTTGATGACATTACATTGCTCAGGTAACAATTTGATTAAGTGAAAGCGTTGCACACTTAAATGTGGTTCCGACTTCATAATAGTCAAGCTTGTGTTTTATGTAAAAACTAAACCTCGTAATAGTAGGCCTCTAATGCAAGTATCACTGAGTTTTCCAAAATATGCATTCTGAAAGGTGATAAAATAACAAAGGATAGGAGAGCAAATTAGCGTAAACTGAAAAATACCTCAGAATTGAACTTGCGCCTGTGAATCGGCTTAAATTTTCGAACATCCAGTATAGTTAATTCATCATCCTTCAGAGAAATAGAAACTGTTCTACCGCCACACAAAATCAAGTTCATGTAAAAAGTTCCAAGCCACAGATGTTTTGAGGTGTACCAAATGACATAAGACAGTAGCCCTGTTACCAACAGCTATGTGTGTCCCATCAGGTTTATAAGTGATGTTTATATTCTCCCCGCTAAGCTCTGCTTCCTGGGAGCACTTTCCACCTGCAAAAGCCGATGCAGGCAAAAGTAAACAACTATCTTATGGTTAAGCAACCAAGTAATATCATAACGATTTATTTAGTTAGCCACCAATAAGCAACTTTCATTCAGAACCACTGAAGCATTCATGATATTTAACATTAGAATCATGGAAGAGGTGTACAAGCAATAAAAGTATCTCCCCTTACAGTTAAGTCTTCTAAACAATAACATTATACAGCATTTCACTTACTTCGAGCAACCCATAGTCGAACAGTCTTATCACCAGATGCAGTTGCTATTAGATCAGCATGTTCAGGGTCCCAACATAGTTGATCGACACTATCAGTGTGTCCCTTCAATTCAATATCTTTAGCCTTGCCCTGCACCAAACATTACAAAATCACCATTAGCAAAACAACATTTGTAAATTTCCAACATCAAAGATACAACCCAAACTAATTTCAGATAAATTGTGCAAATACGATTTCTGTGATGATACCAATAAAAAGGATACAAAAAGTAGGTAGCCTCTCTAAAACTCCCGTTATTGATGTACGTGCATCCTAAAAGGTCAAAATATATCATCAGTCCCTGTACTTGAATGAAGTTCTAAATTTAGTCTATATAATCTTCCTTTTACGAATTAAAAGTCATAATCCAACAATGGATACTATTATTATTTTTTTGTCAAAATTTGTGATCAAAACACTGATGCAACTTTACCAACTGGAGAAGCAAATCAGTTTGAGCTCAGTTAACATATCCGATAGTGAGCAAAATTTGACCAAAACATTAGAAATGACATTGAATTGATTAGAGCTTGTAAATCAAAAGGATTTCATTTTTAGCTTTATTAATACATAGACTAGATACAAAAATTTGCCAAATGACAGAGATTTACAACATATTTTTTACCATCCTAAAAGCATAAGCAAAATGATACCCATCAGAACGATTAAATGAAGACCCATCTCGAATCCATTCCCAATTCATTCAAAATACCCAGAGAAATTCAAATTAGGCGAGAAAGAGAGAGGGATTTACATGACCGTGAGGCTCAATATGCCAAACTCGAGCGGTTTGATCGACGGAACCGGAAGCAAGCTTGGTGCCCGTGCAATTCCAAGCCACAGAATGCACCTTTGGGGGAATAAAGAGAAAATTTTTAATTAGGAGAGACAAAAAGAGCGGCAAAAAAACTTACTTTCTTCTTGTGACCTTGATACTCTCTGCAATGCAGATTCTTGAAGGCTACTTTCTCCTCCATTTCTCTTCTTCTCTGGGGTTTGTTCTACCCTTCTTGTAGCACTGTAGGTTTACTTTAAAAAAATGATATTTTTATGCACATTTTCAGAGCTTATACAATACAGGAGACTTTTCATGGTGGGGGTGTAATCGTGCCGAAGAGCTTATACAATGCAAATGATTATTTCTGGAGTTTGGTATGGGCCGATTTAGCTCCACCTAAGGTAGAAGCTTTTGTGTGGAAGGTAGTACAACATAAAGGTCCATCTTTAGTGGAGCTAGCCAAACGGGGAGTGCCTAATTTCGAAACTGCATTTTGTGCTTTATGTCATATGGAGCAGCAGTCGCTCATTCTTTAATTTGCCACTGTGAGGTTGTGTGGGGAGTTTGGTTAAAATGGTGCTTTCTTGGGAATATTAACCTTGTGGTCCCAGGTAACATGAAATCCTTACTTCCCATGTGGAATAGCCTATTAACTAAAAAATCTGGTAAACCAATTTGGAATATGGCACTTTTTGGGATTATTTGGTCCATTTAACTGTGCCGGAATGAGGTCATTTTCAAGAACAAAAGGTAGTGTGGTGATCAAATTTTTGATTTGGCATTACTAAGGATAGGTTTTTTGGTGTAAAAGTAAATGGCCTGCCTTTTTCTCCCACGTTAATGATGTTGTTGGAAGTCCTAATGCATTTGCGATCAGATCTTTGCGCCGTGGTTGAGCTCGTGTGAGATTCCTGTTGCAGTACCGTTTAGTATGTAAAAGCTTGGTAGGTTCTGTAGTGTTGCTGGTTTCTTGATAAGGTGCATTAGGTGCTTATCGTTTGCTTTCCTGCATCGTTCTCTATACCTTTTTGATTTGGTTCAATTGGATGGTCTGATGACATTGATGCTTGGCAGTGTAATTGTGATTGTATTGGCAGTTTCTTCCTTGTTTTAGTAGGTGCTCTTGGATCTGGTTCGGGGTGCCCTCCCTCTTTGTAAGCGGTTCGTTTTGGTTGTCTTTAGATCGATCGAGCAGTGAGTTGGATATAGGTTGTTTCTTTGCTTGTCATCTATGTGGGTTGACATTCCGTTAAGTGGCATTGTTTTGTTAAACACGAGAATCAAATACAAATACTTAAACATAAAATAAAGAGTCAAGACCAACTCGGGATCGTACCTACAGGCGACAACGCCGCTCGACTGTTGCTGATATTTGTATGGTTTCGCCGGTAATGTTCTCAATTGCTGTTACTAGTAATTATACAACCTGCAGTACAAATAATGAGTATGAAATGAAATTTTGTCAAAATAACTCAAATTTTATCAAAATAAAGGGACTAAAATCATTATTAGACCAAAAGATAGTTAACAAAATCTTTGCCTATGTCCTAATTTGTTCATTCGATTTTTTCCACAGAAATTAAATGTACAAAATTACTTATTTAGTTATTAGCTTGATGTCCTAAATTTAAAGCTTAAATGTCTTAAATCAAAACCTGACTTATTTATGTCTTTTTTTCGATTTATAGATCGATATTTTGTTATTTCCCATAGCAAAAACTCTACATCTCTATTATACTTCATCTAGATCTTCTTTATAGGTTAAATCTCTATTTCCACTCTATCATTTGATCCATTAACCAGTATCCTTTGATATGACTTCTGATAAGTCCATGTGACTTATCAGAATCAAATTTATTGTTAGACGATTATATTTATTTAATTTACCAACTTACAAATAATCATTACAAATAATCATCATGGCTCTAAACATAACAGTATCACTAGGGATCATTATAAAATATTGGATTAAAAATCTATAATTGTGAGAACATATGTCTAATGTACAATGCTATCATAAAATATGACATGAAACTATCAATTATGTTATATGTGTCATAAGTATTAAATATCATAAAAATAAAGTATAAATACCATATGTTACTAAAAAATATATATAAACCATAAGTTGTATTTATAATTTCTATTAAGATTGGGTCAAATTGAAATTAAAAATATTTATATATATAGAACAGACCGACTATTAGTTTACTAAAGTTATGCTTTGTTTCCATGCATGTAGATTTCTTACTAATATAATATAATTTAATGACAGATTTAAATTTTTTTATTGTTGCTATATATATATTAGCAATAAAAAGTTTTCTTGTATGATAAATACAAATAAAATTTTAGAGTTAACACAAATTCATATAAAAAAATTAAATTTTATATCACACTCATTCATCTTGAACAACAGCTAAATTGCCCACTTATAAAATCTCACTATATCCATCTTTTTTTCGAGATTCTCTAAAGTTTTATTTGAGTATCTCATGATCCTAAGAGCTCTCATATCTATTTTTTTTCTTTTGAATGCTAAAAAACAATATGAAAATAAAATTTAGGCAAAAGAGTTATTTTTGTCGATGTAGTAAATTCAATTTATCACTTTTGCACTTATCGTATTTTTGCATTAATTTTGTCCTCAAAATTGCTCAAATGCATCATTCTATATCTACCTCTAACTTAAAACCTTAAATTATAAACCCTAAACCATAATCTCATATTATCTAAACTCTAAACATTGATTTATGATTTATAATTTAGGGTTTTAAGTTAGGAGAAGAGTATAGAATGATACAATTAAATAACTTTAAGAGCTAAATTAATGCAAAAATACGATAAGGCCGAAAATGATAAATTAAATCTTCTACAAAAGTAAAAGTGACCCTTAAGCCTAAAATTTAACTCTTAAATTTAATAATTTTTAATAGATTTAAAACTATATTTATTTTATTTAATCTTTAAATTAATAGACAACAAAATTAAAGGTCAGATTTTTTTTAAAAAATCATTAATTTACATAAATATTTTCGATTTTCTGAGTCATGGATTGACTATATTTTCAATTTTCTGAGTTATCCAAATCCAAATACATATATCTATTTAAAAAATTGAATATATTTTCATTTTCATTTACAAATTATCAATATTCTATTATCCAAATATAAATTGAATATTAATATTTACTAGTTATTTGAATACTAAAATTTAGTATTCAAAATTTTAAATTGAAAATATAATTTTTCACCATTTAATTAGACACCAAAATGTATAAAAATGGTCCTGTGTTGTGACATGGAAGGAACCAAAGATGTGTTATCCAAAGGAAACCAATGAAACAAAGCCAAGTAAGTATCCAAAATCTTTCTCCAATCTCATCCTCACTCTCCTCCCTCCTTTCCTTGTTCTACCACCGCTTATTTTTCCTATATGATTTTTATCTACACCACCACTTCCTCAAAAATCATCTCATCTAATTTTATTTTCTTCCAATCCAAATTAGGCACCATGGCAGCCTCCTCCGCCTTGGTAACCCCCATCTTCTCCACCGTCCAAAACAAGCTCGGCGGCGGCCACCAGTTCGCCCCCTCCGCCATCTCATTCCAAGGCCTCCGCCCCCTCAGCAAGGCCAAGCCCTCATCCAAAACCATCGCCATCGCAACAACAAGCTCCGGTGCCAGTTCTAGGCTCGCCGTCAAAGCAGAGCTGAGTGCCCCAGTCGTGATAAGCATCAGCACTGCAGTCTCCCTCTTCTTGGGCAGGTTCGTGTTCTTCAACTTCCAGAGGGAAAACGTCGCGAAGCAAGTGCCTGAGCAGAATGGGTTGACTCACTTCGAGGCGGGTGACACACGAGCCAAGGAGTATGTCAGCCTTCTCAAGTCCAATGATCCGGTGGGGTTCAACATCGTCGATGTTCTTGCTTGGGGCTCCATTGGTCATATCGTTGCTTACTACATCTTGGCCACCTCCAGCAACGGCTACAACCCCAATTTCTTCTGATCATGATCCTCTGCCTCCTCTTCTTAATTATGCTTTGTTTTGTACGCCCTTGTGTAGTTTCCTCTATTACTGGGGGAAATTGGATCTCTTGTGTTTCTTCTTTAAAAAGAAAAGAAAATCTAATGCTTTTCTCCTGCTTTTATTTCTGGGTTTTCTTTGATGCATATCATACTTGGTTCACAAATTTGATTTTGCTAACAAGAAATCGTGAAGGAAGCAGCTAAATTAATGCAATAATAAGCTCTGCCAAAATCCTGATACGTATTACTCCTACCTGTCGTAACTTGATTTGAAATCGTCCCATTGCAGATCGCAAATTTCTTGTTTCAGTGCTTAAATTTTAAAAATAACGAAATGATAATTAATGTTATCATTTTATAATATATTGATCATTTAGCTGGACTAATATTAGCATATTTGGTTAACTTATTTGACCACGTCAGACCACAATTGACTGACCCTTTTGACACATATTTAAAAAAATAAATAAACAAATAGCTGATTTGAATAACCTAATTAAAAGGACTAGAAAGAATGATCCTTGAGATCCGAGTAGTTGGTGGTAGAACCGCCTAGAGTATTTTTAGAGTTGGTATGGCAAGTTACGACCGTAGAGAGAATGCAAAGTACAAGAAAGATTTTGTTGGGTGAGTCTAGCGTCCCAAGTTTGAGGACTAGTGTATCAATAGACCAATCACAGTCAGTCATAGAGAGGACCAGAGTTATGCGTAAGCATAGAAGAGTGACGTTAGCTTTGTCACCCTAATTGGGTCAAAGGTCAGACGTAGGGTCCCGTAGGAAACCACTTGTTTCACCATCTACGGTGAGCTCTGGAGACTCTGCTAAAGTTTTGAGGTATCCAAAGTACGAGCATTGTGGAAAAAATAATCGAGAAATGTGCTACAAGATTTCTAAGAAGTGCTATAGATGTAGATCCTTGGCGCATTTGGCAAGAGATTGCCTGGGGTTGGATGGTGATGTTTCAGCTTAATCAAGGGGAGTGATCCCAATAACTCAACATGGTAGAGAGCCTGAGAGAGTTGTTAGTTTGATAATCGGGTAGGAGGACAAAGGAGCGGATCAACCTGTTTTTTGTTCGACGGCGCGTGATCCCACTTGTCAGATTGCAAAGAGAGGGTTAGGATGTTGAAGTCGCAGATGAGATGTCAGGTATATTTTTCAGTTATCTCAATTTTTCATGTGGTTTCAGTAGGCGTAAGTGCACGCGTTCCTTGGTGATGTCAAGTGAACTAAGTAGGAAAAGTGTTCGTATAGAGAATCTGAGCGCGAGTATGCAAGTGCCTAGTCGGTGGGTCTTAGTGGTTTAGATAAGGTTACCTTAGCTATTCTTTTAGGGCTCAGATTAGATTTAGTAGCTGACCTAAGGGAAGTTGTTAGCGTAAGTGTTACTTGACCTCAAGATTGTGGGTCTAGAGTTGGGAGAATAAGCGATTGTCCTTTTTTGAGTTGAGGATTACCTCTAAGAGAATGTTGAGTAGCAGAATTCTCCACCCTTGTATGTTTTCTAGGGGAGCATCCTTGTCGGTTGTTAAGCTAAGTATGAGACTATAAGGATTTTTTGCGTCGTCATTTGAGAGGGTTCGTGTGACCGACCCACATCAAGTTAGTACTCCTAAGTTCAACATTAGAGATAGGGATCTACATGAGAGTGATGAGGTTACCCAAGTACTCCAAATAATAAGTTAGCAGGGTTATGTTCTGATGCAATAGTTCCGGAATTCCACCTTAAGTACAAAGGATAATGTAAACACCATTATTTTATTTTATTTTATTTTGTTTTGTTTTTATCATTATTTTATTATTTTAAAAAATTAAAAGTAGTAGCAATTGGGTTATTAATACCCCAACCACCCATGTATCAATCACACCCCATTTTGACTTGTTTTTTCTCTCCATTTTTGCTTTCATTTTTTTCCTTTTTTGTGGTCTTTACTTCTGTTTCGGGGGGTTCATGGGTTGCATGGGAGTGGCCATTGTGAGCGGTGGCTGACGTGTGAGAGAGGTCGGCTCGTGGCCTAGCAGTGCCGGATGTTGGTGGCCGGTGAGGGAGCCATTACGACCTTAGCTTTTTGGTTGTCTCCGTGTAGGAAGAGAGGAGAGTAGGAAGAAGGATAAGTCTAGTTGAGGGTCGGTTCGGACGTATGGTCGGAGTTCGAGTGTTCTCCGTTGAGTGGCCAAGGGTGGTGGCCGACATTAAGGCTCGTTTTTTAGCTCTCTCAACCGCCGAATAGGGAGGAGAAAGGGAAGAGAAAGAGTGAGATTAGGAGGAGAATGGGGAGAGTTTCAGCCATTCAAGAAGTCGGTCGGTCCTCCTCCGTTCATGGTCGAGGTCACTGGTTGTTTTAGGTTGGTCACGGGCCCTGTAGCCAGTGTGTGAGGGCCGGTGTGTGGCCGACGAAGGTGTGTTTGAAGCTTTGATAAGCTTTCCTGGAAGAGTTACCTAAAGGGGGAAATATTTTGGTTGTATGAAAAATGGGTAAATCATGCCTAGGGCCCCTCATTTTAATACCCATTTTATATTCTGGCCACTTGTTTCTGGTAAATCGCGCATAAGTCCTCCCAGTTTTAACGTGTTTTACGCTTTGGTCACTATCAGGGGAAAATCACCTTTAACCTCCTCGTATTTTAGCTTCTTTTGCACTCTGGTCATTTGCTTTGTTATTTGTTTCGAATATGCATATTGATTTTATTAACTCTCGATTTGGTCATTATTTTTGCTATTTTATTCGTTATAATTTAACTGTTTTTTATTATTTGTTGTATTTTGGTCACTGGACCTTTCGTTTCTAATTTATTGTACTTTTTTCGTTCTATTTTATTTTATTTTAATTTAATCACTATTATTATTCTGATTTGTTTAATTTAGTCACTGTTTTTTACGTTTATTCATTTTAGCCACTGTTTGGATTATGTTTCTTATTTTATTATGATTTGGATATGATATTTGCAATTTATTCATTTTGGTCACTATTTATTTATTATTTAACTACTAACTTTTATTTTCTTGCATTTTAGTTACTGTTATTTTATTTTATGCAATTAGGTCCTTGTACTTATATTTATTTTATTTTTTATTTCTTGTTGTTTTCACTTTTTTTTATTTTTGTTATTTTTGTTATTTAAGTTTATTATTAATTGTTTTGATATTTCATAGCTTTAATTCTTAGATTTAGTTTTAAATTAGATAACGTTCGAATCAATTTTAGAAATTAGGATTTCATATTAGTTTTAATTAGGGAGCAATTCGAGTCGAGTTTTCGCATAAGATGCCCGATTACTCGAATCGATTGCTCGACTTTTAAAATTTATTAATAATTAATATTTTCTAAAAATACTTTAGGTTCAATAATTTAGATAAAAATTAGCTTTTAAATTAGTCAACAATTTTAGAAATTATCAACTTATGTCCTAAGCTTTTAGATCTTTTCGAAATCAGTATTTTTATGTCTTGACCTTTTAATCCCCGAATTTCGATTAGAATTTTATTTTTAACATAATTAATTAAGATTAATATTAGAGCCTCCATCTTAGGCTTGATTTCACATTTAGTCCTTTAATTAGGTGAATTCTTAATTTAGTCTTCCCTTTTGCTCGAGTTTCCCATTTAATTATTCAAAATAATATTTATTAAAATTAATTAAAATTAATAATAGAGTCTCCACTTTAGGTTAGATTTCACGCTAGTCCTTTTAATTTAGGGGATAATTCGAGTTGGCCCTCGTCTAAATGCTAAAAGGACCATCTCGATTATTCGATTCAATAATTGATTAAAATTAAATAGGATTAATATTAGAACCTACAAATCTAGGTGTGTGCCTTTAAGTCCTTTAACTTTCATAATTTGACACCTTAAGTTAGAAAAAAGCCTTAATTTACTTTTAGTTTAATTAGGATGAATAAAATTTTGTTTGATTGCATTGTTTTTTTACTCTAAGACAATGTTCACTTATTAGGGAATTAATGGTATATCTCCAGCAAGTATGCTCAGGGGGTGACTATTGGTGATTCCCGAAATAAGTCGACATCCTTTTCAAAGACCGTACCATGATTTTCTAAAATTAAGGCAATATTCGATTATTAGGTACAATAGTTGATCTCCCGTATTTACGCTTGGGAGAGAATGTTATCGGTCTCAATAAACGAATACCCTTTTCAACTTTGCATCCGTAATGATTTTCAAATTAAACAAAGACCGAACTCAAAATTTTTGATTTTAAATATAGGGTAATAAACTAGGTACCAATTTTTGGTCGCTTGTGGGGGTGCTAATCCTTCCCTGTAACTGACTCCCAAACATGATTTCTAGATTTTTGCAGACCCTAAAGCTCGATATTTTAATAAAAATAAAACGTTTTATTAAAATCACCTAATTTTTATGGTGTCCCAATCTCACCTTAAATGATTGGTGGCGACTCCTCACATTTTGAAAAATCTTTTCAAAGAGAAAACCCCTGAGTCGGTATTGGTCTTTTCCCCGCCCGGGCGAAAAATGGTGTCGACAGCTTGGCGACTCTGCTGGGGACTTTTTTTAAACAACTTAAGAGTCGAGCCACGAGTTGGTTACCCTATGTTTATTATTTCGAAAATTACGAGTTCGATCTTATTTAATTTACAGTTTATTATGTTCTTTCAAAAAGAAAAAATAGATTTTCTCTCTGATTAATGCTTACACTTATGTGAATATTTAGGACTGTTGCATATCATAGCTCTAAACCCGAGCTCAAACCCGATTTATCTAAGTAGGGAGAAATGTCACACCTCACAAGGAGCATTGGGCTTCCTTGTATGGGCTTGATAAAGTATCTCTGGAAAGCATCCTAAGTTGTCTGTTCGGATATCAGTTGTGAGATACGCTTTTAGCGGTGTGATTCCCTAAGTAGAATCTGATTTGCAAGTCTGTAATGGGCCATAATCGGGGGAAACCTTAGTTGGTTGTAAAGATGGATTGGGAACCCTTTGCTAGAACCCTGCCTCATATAGAGAATTTAGGAAGCCTACCCCGCTAGAGCCATGTGGATAACCTAAGAGAATTAGGACGCATGCGGTTATAATTTTTAATTTCCTTTGTATGATTTAATTTTTAGTCTAAACTTTGAGCCATATTTAATTATTTTTGCTGAGATTACATTTCTTAGACTAACTATTTCAACTAACTTGATTCTTTTTGTCTTGTTTCTACTAACAATGATTTCCTTTTGTCTGGTTTTATTACATTTTTGCATGAACATGACATATCATTCAAAGGTATTGATCCCTTAAATAACTGATCGTTTAGAAGGTTCTTGAAAAATAATGCCACAAGAATGCCTTTAATTGGGTTCAGTAGAATTTCGAAGATGCTCCATGTAGATCGAATAGCGTCAAGAGATAGTCTATCTACTAAGGAAAATACCCAGACGTATACCGGCTGAGATAACAAGATGGACTCAAGAAGATTCAATGCTGAAGCCAACTGTTGCAGATCATGAACCAGCTCAAAAGATTTATGAAAGTAGGAGATGAAGTTGAAGAGTCGAAAATGATGCAATACCCAGATGCTCGCAGGTACTGGATAACTTACAGACGGACCATATTTTCACTTCCCCAGTGTACCAAGACATTGTCAGTTTTTCAAGAATTGTTCAAGGAACAATTAATTTTAGGATCAATTCCTTGTTGTATTTTCATCTCGCATTTTGCACTCTCATTTTTGCATCTTAGCATTTGTATGTACATTTTTTCATCTTTGCATTAGCATATATACATTGTATATTACATGGTATACATAGCATCTCAACATGGATTAATCACAGATCTGAGGAATAACTTGCAGAGAGTCCCGTGATAGAAGTTTTGAGGTAAGAAGAAGTCACCCCATTCGTACCAAAAGAGGATTGAGAGCTATGGACGTGATGTTAGCACCGTTTGAAGTTTGATGCACGTCGTCGAGATCCATGGGGCACTGAGAAACAAGGCCCAGATTTTGTTTGACCCAGGGGTATTGACCTGTAACTCGTAATGAGACATTCTGGGGCCAATTAAAAAAGAAGTTCTTCCACACACCGTGAAGCCTTATGTCACTGGCTTTTTTTTGTTTGAACGTGTTTTAGTGTTTTGCATACTCGATAAATATTTTATTGATTGAACTTATGGCTTTTTTTAGGTTATGAGCAATAAATCAAGTTTTAATCTTGTAGTTATTTGAATATCGAATGAATTGAAGGTTCTTTTACTACTTCATTAATTATAGATCTTTGACAAGGGGCAAGATTAGACCTTTCATACCCCATCCAAAGCCGAAATAACCATTGATGGGTTCCTTACCCGAAATAACACACATTTACTACCAAAAGACCGAACCTTCCCCCTAAAACCATAAAGTCATGCTCCTATCCTCCCCGAGGCACTAAGACCTATACTTTTACCTTCCCAAATAGAAATAACATTTTCATAAAATTACCTTTTTCAGAATAACAACTTTAAAGTCACACATTTACCTTCCTAGACACAGAACCAACATTCATTTCCCAACCTCAATAAATCCTAGGCGGATGACGAGAACCTTTCTTACAAGAAAGACAAGATGGAGTGTTGCAAATCAAGTTTTTGCAAGAGAATTCGAATAATTGGGGCATACTAGGAGCGAATGGAAGAAGAAGAAATAAAGAGAATCATTGAAATAATTCTATCATGCATTAATTACATTGTTTCATGTAAATAAGTTTAATCTTGAATAATCGTCCCCCTGGGGATACCTATTTGATAACTTCCTAAAAAGACTACTTTTTAGGCCTTCTTTACTTAAGTTTTTGTTTGTTTAAAAGCTCATTTTAGTCATTTAGGATAATTTAGTTGCATTTGTGGTGGTATTGCTCTTTTATCTTTTAAGGATGTTGTATGAGAGAAAGGTGCAATTGGTTATGGTGTACAGGAAATAACAAGCAGAAGGTCGTACTGGGAAGGAATGTCATGACATCACAAGCTGCTGAAGCAGATTGAAATGCCTTGGCATTTTTGGCGCAGAAACAGACAAAAAGATATTTTTGTAAAAAGACAGCTGGTAGAGCACATGAATGATGGCTGTAACTGCCTACTGGGGACCACCGCCACCTATAAGGATAAGACTCACGCCTAAGGAGTGACTATAGGGGTATTAGGGGTATTTTGAGCGAAATAACCTTATTATTACCCTTAGATATTTTTATTATATATTACATCTCACATGAGAGAGAAGAGAAGAGAAATTTTGAATAACATTTTCTTATCTTCTTCACCGTATCCCATTCTTCTTCTTCTAGTGGTGTTCCTTCATTGATAAGCTCCAAGGAATGGCGAGCTAGACGTATGAGAGGAACTAGTGAGCTAAGGTGAGTCTTGGTGGTTGAGGAGAGCTCTGATGGCGTGCGTCGAAGGCTTCTTCTCCCTTCCTTTTGTTGCTATTTTACAATTTATTATTGGGTTGTTTGGAATGAATATTTCATGGCTTGTTCTATGGATGATTCAAACCCCATCATGAACTAACTTTATTTGGTGGGGTTGTTTGATGAATGTTTAACTTTATTTTAATGGTAGATTTATGTTTATCTTTTGTATTTGCTTGCTTTGTTTATGAATGCTTCATCGTCTAAGTTTGTAAGAGGCATGAGAGTGTCCATTTCTTAGATGAAGGCTAGGTGTTCAAGAGAAAATTAGCTAATATTACTTGTAGTATTCGAGAGAAACACAAGAAAAGATCCACATAAGCAATGAGATATAATATTTTCTTAACTTTGAACCACCCTAGTAATACTTTATCCTAATCCCTTAGTACTTGAGAGAGACTAAGATATGATTTCAATGACTAAAAAGGGTAGTTTGTTATCAATGGTGTAGGATGCCATAGCTGAGACTGAGAGGAGATGCCGTGGCATTCTATTCTGTTAGGTTCATTTGACTAGAGATAGCGGGAGCATTTTCAGCAAACCTTGTCGAGCAAGTGAAGTTTAGATAGATTAAATCTACCTGAGAGACAAGTTATAGCATCCTTAAATCAATCCCTACTATTCATTCCAGTGGAAGCTTGTTGTGTGAGGATTATCAAACTATCATTTATTTCTTGTTTTTACCTTTTTCAATGCCTTGGCATTTCAATCATTTTCAATATTAAAAATATGTTTTACCACTATATTTGCTACCTCATCAGAATATTAATCCATATCCACCCACAGCTACTTTTCATCGCCGTGATATTTTAATTTAGTATATATTAACACTAACTATACTTAGATAGAGTAGTGCTTTGCTTTGGTTAAACTTTTGTAATTTCACCCAATCTATGTAGAGACAATACTTACTCATCACTTTATTACTTGAGCGATTATGTATACTTGCACATTATTTGCGTTTAATTTTATAGTACTCACAACACGCAACACTCTTTTACAAAGACTTCCATGTTTGAGATGATGAACGGCTTTATTTCATTTATCCTTTCAAATATATATATATATATATATATCCCTTGTTGTCCCTTTTTAAGCCTATAGTATTTTTTCCTTTTGATTCAACCCTAACCAAAGATCACCCTCCATACTGGGGCAAAGGTGAAGGACATCTTCTCGCATATAATCAATCTAGATTTCATTACAGAAGCAAGTCATGATGAAATAAAGTGAGAAATAAAAAGATACCACAAGGTAGACCAAATACGAAGCGCTCAAAGATCAAATTGTGTTGACGACACAGAGAGAAGAAAGAAGAAAAAATATAGTAACAAAAAAGACATAAAAATTGAGAAAAAACAAAAGAAAAACAAAAAAGGGAGAAAATTGAAAAAATTGAAAAAAAACAAAAAAATAGGGAAAAAAGAAAAAAAAGAGAAAAAGAGAAAAAAGAAAAAAAAAGAAAGAAGAAAGAAAACAAATCCAATACATCAAGGCGAGCGGTTCAAATATCTAGAATCAATTTACCAGAAGAATAGAGAACACCAAATAAAAAGAGAATAAAAGACACGGGATAGGATTCAAGTCGAGCAATACAAGATTTAAGACAACAAGAAGAATTGATCCTTGTTTTTTTTAACCCTTAAACACTTGTTTGAGCCTATTTATCCATTTCTTTCATAACCATGAGCCCTAGCCTACGTTACGTGCCTGAAAAGTCCTTTCTAATCAAACATTAATTTATAAGTGGAGAGACTATCTTCAGATTTCATTCCGCCCCTCAGGGTTAATTTTATTTGCAAAATTAGTTTTCTAAAATCTTTAATGCATGATAAGGAAAAAAATAAATAGAGGGTTCAAGACGTAAAATTTTAGATAATGTCTTAAAACCAAAGAAGAATTCGAGTTGAAAACTTGAAAAGGTGGCTCGAATACAAAGATTATCAACCACTGTATAGAAGGACAATCTTATACATCATTTTGATAAAGCATTACATAGTCCAAAGGCGCTCACGAGGGCTGAGAACCAGTGAACATTTCCAGAAGAGAATCATGATGACTGCTTCATCAGATCAATGAACACCAGAATCAAGAACGCAAGAAGCCGACTTGAAACACATTACCTCCTCAAATTAACCTGAAACACATTACCTTCCGAAGTCAACCTAAGCCTTTTATCAGCATTAATCTTTACAATTTTCAAATGTATATAATTTTTGAAGGATTAAAATAATATTTGACTTATTTGATATTCAATGAACTCTTGTTTTACAATTTGTTTTGATTGTGAGTCGAAAGAAAATGACAACACTTCTGAATTTTATTCAACATTTTTCACATTTCTAAATAAAATAAAAGAAAAAACATTTTTAAACATGACAATCTCAAGTGAAAAAGGTTCTTGAAGCTGGTAAGGCTCATTCTGCCTCAATCGAAGAAAAAAACAAATGATGCCAGAATAATGAAGCATTTGTTGAAAGCAAATAGTCTGAGAGATCATAAGGACTAGAGTACAGAACTTCTATTACTTCATTGTAACGTTATCAAGAAGTAGACAATCACCTTAGTTGAAGACGACTTATATCCCAGCTGATGAAAAAATGAAAGGCAATTATGATCAATTCTTAAATGTCCATCTAGTTGTGGCATCATGAAGAGAAGCCCTCAAGCTATTCTTTAACATTACTGATTAGCGATACAAGATCGAGACCATTCGAGATTAAAATTTTGGTGTGAAGAGAACCATGAGTACCTACATTAGGGAATTACCAAAACCAGATGTTGTTAAGATAACAAGATTCGAATCAAACATGCATGGTGAAGTGCTAGGGTCGAAAGATGAACACAAAAATAGCTCACCTTGAATTGAACCATTCACGCTGCAGTTAGCCAACCACTCTTGAGAAACAATTCTGATTGAAAAATTGAGTCGTAGGTATGTAAGGTTCCCTATTGTCTACCTGATTGCAATGAGAATTCAAGGGAGGAAGAGCTTCTTCCAAAATTATGTTGAAGAAGCAAGACAAAAGATAGAAGATATGAGGGACATGATTTCTCCATATGATTAGTTTAACCATGCTGATGTTGGGGGCAGACTCCATACAAGAATGATCAAGTGAAGGATGACCGAGATCTCTATTTTGAAGTCAAAAGAGGATTACTGATAAATATTTCTGCACAAAAGAAAGTCATGTATTACATTTAGATACATGTTGCATTCACATTTCATGCATCAAAGCATATTTTTACAGATTTTTCAAGAAAAGAAGAGAAGGAAAAGACATAACTCAAGCCTTAAATGAAGGGAGTTATATTCTGAGTGGAAGAACCTCAAGAATTAAGGAACCCAATCCAAGAAAAATCATTACTTTGACATGGGGGCACGTTACACAAACAACATGATATTTTCAAAGCAAATTTTAAAAGAAGCTAAGCCAAATCTTAAGGGTTTCTTGATGTTTTCAAATGAATTTTTAGAAACTAAGTATGATTTTCAGGGGTTTCTTGATGATGATTTTCAAAGAATTTTTAAAGGAAGCTAAGCGTAATTTTTAGGGGTTCCTTGATAACTCCTAAGAAACTAAGCTTTATTTTCAAGGGTTTATTGATGAGTAAGTCCTTCGGGTCATCAGTAAGTCTTTTGAGCTTGATGCTTAAATCTTTCGGGTCATCTATAAGTCTTTCGAGCAAGATGATAAGTCCTTCGGGCCATCCATAAGACCTTTGGGCAGGATGTTTCCAAAAGATTTTTAGAAACTAAGCCTAATTTTTAGGGGTTTCTTGATGATTATCTCCAAAGAATTTTTAAAGGAAGTTAAGCCTATTTTTTAGGGGTTCCTTGATGATAATTGAAAAAAAATATTTTTAGAAACTACGCCTGATTTTTGGGGGTTTCTTAATGTTTTAAATGAATTTTTGAAAGAAACTAAGCCTATTTTTAGGGGTTTCTTGATAAATGTAAATGAATCTTTTTGAAGAAGCTAAATTTATCAAGGGTAATTTTTTTTTACTGAGGCAAGATGTGCACATTCACAAGTCAATATTCGCAAGAATACACTCAGGTGCGACAGATAAAGAAGACAACCAAACCAGGAAAAGAATGAAGACTGCTCTAGCAATGAAGATTGTTATTGCAACCATTTCCAATAGATCAAGAAAACCTGCATTCATACATGAATTTTCATCATACGTTTCATCATTTCATACACATGATAAATTTTGATTTCCCTCTCATAAGGATGCC